CTCGAGTCGTGGTCGAGGCGATTGGCCAACCCCGCGTGGGGGCTACGGACCGTCGAGGCGGTTTACCCAGTCTTTGATGACTGGGTGAATCGTGGCGAAGGACGTCTCACCTTTCGTCTGGTGCAGGTGCTGACCGGGCACGGATGCTTCGGGAAGTACCTGCGCCGGATAGGGGCTGAGCCGACGACGAGGTGTCACCATTGTGGACACGACCTGGACACGGCGGAGCATACGCTCGCTGNTTTACCCAGTCTTTGATGACTGGGTGAATCGTGGCGAAGGACGTCTCACCTTTCGTCTGGTGCAGGTGCTGACCGGGCACGGATGCTTCGGGAAGTACCTGCGCCGGATAGGGGCTGAGCCGACGACGAGGTGTCACCATTGTGGACACGACCTGGACACGGCGGAGCATACGCTCGCTGTCTGCCCCGCTTGGGAGGTGTAGCGCCGTGTCCTGGTCGCAAAAATAGGACCTGACTTGTCGCTGCCTGGCGTCGTGGCGTCGATGCTTGGCGGCGATGAGTCATGGAAGGCTATGCTCGACTTCTGCGAGTGCACCATCTCGCAGAAGGAGGCGGCGGGGCGAGTGAGGCAAAGCTCTCCTCACTACGCAGAAACCCGCCGCCGCCGAGCAGGGGGTCGGGACCGGGGTCGTATCCGTGACCTGGCCCCCTAAGAGCTGGGGTCCCACCCGTTTTGTGCGGGGAGAGACCCAGACGTGGGGTGGCGTGCTTTGCACGCTCACCCGCAGTAGGAAGCCGGGTGATGGTAGACCGCGTTCCCCCGACCGCTCTGGGGGAAGGTGTAACGCGGCGCCATCAAAGCGGGCTATCGGCCCGCTGAACGAGAGAACCGGTGGTCGTGTCGCTGGCGGCCGCCGGTCCGGCGTCCGTGGGACGGTGGGATGGATGTAATGTGCTCTGCGTCAACCCTGTCCCGCCGTTTCAATAGCCCCGACTGGGCTCCGGCCCGGTCCGAAGTAGGGCGCCGGTTGTGAGCGGCAGGAGTTTTTAGTGAGGTTCAACTCCCACATACCCCACCTGCCGCGCGGGTGGGGATCCGGCGATTTTCTCCTGTGGAAAAAAAAAAATGTCCAAATTTTCCGTTTTTCGAGATTCATTCAGTCACATCTTAAATAATGTTAAAAATGAAAATATCATCCAAATTTTAATGGAGGCTAAGAAAACTTTCGAAAGTTCGGCAATCAAAAGTTTGAACGCGCGCAGTAAATCTCACAAAAGAACATCGATACCGACTTGACACTACTTACGGTAAGTTAAAACTTCAGTCTGAGCTTCCGAGGTGAACACTACATGAGTACGCAACGTTACAGGCAAGTTCAGGCGTGAGCACATCCGTAAGCGGCAGCGATTATATATTCAAAGGTTTCACTTTCGCTGACCTCAATTAATGAGATCTTAGCGAGAATAGAAGGGGCTTGAATGAAAAAGCCGGTTTTGGAATAAGCTCCCCTTCACAGAGTTTCCAGAGCGCTATGACATGTTCTTCTTTAAATAAGGCTTGTGCCCAGCCCACTGAGTTTCTCGCCGGATCTTCTCAGTGGGTCGCGTTTCAGATCCGGTGGTAGATTCTGCGAAGCACTGCTCTTGCTAAGGCCAGTATTAGCAACACCTCCGGCTTGAGCCCCGAGAGCTCACCTACAACGCTGATATAACCTCTCAAGGCTATCAACAAAGCTTGGGGCAAAAGCGGCTTGACTATGCATGTGCCACTGCTGCCATTGAATGAATTTGGACATTACTATTGGTAGGTCGTTGTATTAACAAACTATTGTTCTAAATGGATGCAGTAACAGCTTTTTCAACCGAGTGTTTTATTTTACTTTTTATTGCACAGACGGGTGAATGAACTCACGTCTTGCTTAGTCTTAAGTAAATGCTGGAGTCGGTGCACATCACAGGGTACATCCTTACCTTGAATGACACCAATAGAGCTGACTGATTCTGTCAATGTCACTCGAATATTGTATTCGTAAATCGAACCAGCCAACTCTTAATAATTGAACACCAAATTTCACAATACGCTATTTATGAAAACTATTATCGCTAAACGCCACATCTCCGTTAATAAATCAACTGTCTTACCTTGTAAGAGGCAAAGGCTTTGTCGCAAAAAGCTCCCTTTGACTGTACTTCCACATTGTTCTTTTGAGAAGCTAGCGACATTAATTCCCCGAGACCCGTGACGTCACTAACTGGTGCTCTTTCTAAATACCTAAAGAATTTTAGGTTTGAAGGATTTACACTTTTTTTTAATACCTACGCGGTTCAGGCATATGCCTATTTTCCCGTAATAAAATAATACGATCGCATTGTAACACATATCTATATTTGTAGATTACCCATGAGCCCTTCTGTCCAGTTACTGCAATAAATAACTTTGGTAACGTACTGTTACGCCGGTGAGAGCAACGCCATCTATCGTTGAATAGCAGAAACGAACTAGTAAAATCTAGAACACTCGAGAAGTACAACGCCATCTATTATCAAATATCGGAAACACACATCGAAGCTACACGACCTGTCAAGAATGTTCTCGATATTTCGAGGGATGTCGTATCACTATAAAAGGGATGCAGAGATGCACAAAGGCAGCCGGTCACCGTTCTCGTCGAACCCGTCGCTTGCGACGAAGGGCTCGGACGAGTAAATTAACCCACAGACACAGCCCACTGAGTTTCTCGCCGGACCTTCTCAGTGGGTCGCGTTTCCGATCTGGTGGTAGATTCTGCGAAGCACGGCTTTTGCTAGGGTTCGTGTTAGTAACGTCGTCAGGTTTGAGCCCCGTGAGCTCACCTACTAGTTAAGGTTACGCTGGAATAGCCTCCCAAGGCTAGCAGCTGAGGTAGGAAAAAAAAAACAAAGGCCGTTTAGTAATCGGAACTACTCGAAGCGAATCAGCGAACGGTTCACCAATAAAAAGTATTTACAATGTAAGTTTACTGGTGGTAGGACCTGTTGTGAGTCCGCGCGGGTAGGTACCACCGCCCTGCCTATTTCTGCCGTGAAGCAGTAATGCGTTTCGGTTCGAAGGGTGGGGCAGCCGTTGTAACTATACTGAGACCTTACAGCTTATATCTCAAGGTGGGTGGCACATTTTACGTTGTATATGTCTATGGGCTCCGGTAACCACTTAACACCAGGTGGGCTGTGAGCTCGTCCACACATCTAAGCAATAAAAAAATAATAATATAATAACAGCAATTGATACCTTCACTTCGTGAAGTCTATAGGCTCTGGTTACCACTTAACCCCGGGTGGGTCGTGAGCTCTTCGAACCAGCTGGGTAATAAAAAAAAAAGTGTGTGTGTCCGCTCCGACGCACGACTGGAGTTTACTGGATATAAAAAATTAAACGAAACAATACGAGAAATAGTTCTATATTACGACAACACGATACACTACAGATTATTAACAAATTAACGAGACACAAAACAAACGACTAACAAATATATGAAAATACAATAATGAGAGAAACGCGCGATCAGTACGAGGCTTTGTGGCGGACTGCCGGCGCAGCAGCCCGGCGTCACCTGCGATAACGCATTTCGTGTGACATGCGCAATCAGGCGCATAACGCATTTCGTGTGACATGCTAGTACGATTTTGGTCCCCATAATTTTCATACCCCGGGCCTATATATGTAAATCGATTCTAAAGGAGTAAACTCCAAAAATGCGTATCACTATTCGGCCGTGAACTCGAAATCTGTAAAACATTCAATTGATTAGAATTTCATAACTTCAGGAATAATAAAATGAATTTAATAAACAAGATTAAACGCAAATAGTGCTATAAAATGTTTATTGTGAGCTCACGGACCACATACATACATACATTTTTATTGGTGGTAGGACCTCTTGTGAGTCCGCACGGGTAGGTACCACCTCCCTGCCTATTTCTGCCGTGAAGCAGTAATGCGTTTCGGTTTGAAGGGTGAGGCAGCCGTTGTAACTATACTGAGACCTTAGAACTTATATCTCAAGGTGCGTGGCCCATTTACGTTGTAGATGTCTATGGGCTCCAGTTACCACTTAACACCAGGGGGGCTGTGAGCTCGTCCACTCATCTAAGCAATAAAAAAATAAAAAATAAAACACACATAAAACTGTTAAATTAAAATACAAAGTATTTATGTATTGATCATCTGTTGAACTACCTACCTATATAGCAAACACATGTATTTTATTGATCATAGCAGATGATACGTTTAGAAAAACATTAATTGTGTTCGTGTTAATGCAATTAACTCGCAACCTAAACCTTCTGGCTAAACAAAACGATACATAGAAACAATAAAGCAATTAAGGAACAATCAGAAATAAATATAGCTGAAAGAATTAAAAAAAATACACAAACACACACACACACACACGCACACACAAATACGGTAAAGGTCCACGCGTACATTTTGCCATTTATGTTCTACTTTCTTTTATTTAATTGCAAATTTATTCACAAATTTATCCGGCGTCTTATAAAATCTACCACAATACTGCTGATTACAGAGATTTGCCAATAATCTAATAATAGTCTAACACTATTTACTAGGTAGCAAGTATTTCTACAACTACCTACCTAAAACTATCAAATAGCATTCATTTAATAAGAATTCAATGACGAATTTGTTTAATTAAAAACATGTTACGAAGATGAAACCAAATAGTTTCTAATCAATTGAGTGTTTTAAAACAAAAATAAAACACAGTTATTGTAACTTTTAAACACTAACATCATTTGATTAAAATACTATGGACCTACCTATATTTGCATCACTAAAATACACGTGGTCCGAACAAAAACTCGAGATTGGAATAATTTGTGCAAGGATTGTTAATAGAAATGCGTGTCATGTTGTCACACTATTCCGTTCGCTATCTTCATTTGGTTCCGATCTCGCATCTCCCTCGCTCCCGTAACAACCCATTCACATTTTATTTGTCCTTTCGCTCACTCATTCTCGACGGCCAGTCAGCGGCAGATCATTGAGAGTAGTGCACGTGTCAATGGTTCTGTAATCGCGTATTAACTTTCGTGAAAAAAATACTTTCGAACTTTTTTTTTTTCGTTTACGGAAACTACATAATCAGTGCTGTGCCCGATTTACAGAAGATATTTAGTGTTTCTTGCTTTTATAAAGGAGCTGTGTAAAGTTTTGTGCATATTGGAATGTTGCTAAGTTGTGTAGTGTTTTGTTGGAGTTAGATTGCGGATTTTTCGTGAGGTTAGTACTTTGCTTATCGTACGTACTCTGATGTCCTACGTGCCGATGACGATGATAAAGAACGAATTTTTATCATTATCGGTATCGCTCGATTGAGTGCACTCGATTTCGTTTGCGCAATTGGTCAAATTAAAGCTATGCAAATAGAAAAATGTATAACGTTCAATGTGCGGTCACCCGCTGTTAATAATATGGTATCAAGGTAGTTGAAAACAGCAATGTGTACTATTCACGAACTTGTACAAAGATATGATAACTTGATTGTAATGGGTAGTTTTTTATTTACCTATTTAAAAAGATACAGACTATACCAAACTCAAGATTCCATGTTATTCTATTCAATAGAAAAACCGCTTATACATAGTTTGTAAGCCAATTGTTTTAATAATGTTTCAAGAATAGCCATATTAGATAGGAACAATTTTATTTCTAACAGCGTAATGTGACTCGAAGTAATAGAGATGTAAGTACCTAATCGTCGTTGTCAAACCAAAATCTGCTATGTGCACTTTTTGAGATTTTTACTTTTTGACATTTTCGTATAGTTCACAGACCCATCTACCGTATAAAAAAAACTGTTAATGTGTCTATCTATAGCTTTGATTTGATATAGTTCTTAAAAATTCACCTTCATATAAAATTTTATAGGAAACTGTTTTTATTCGTTAATTCAAAATAGAGTTTTTGCTCATAGCAGATTTTGGTTTGACAGCGATGTAATTAACTAATAACTAGGATCCAAGTACTGTTTCTCGTGCCATTGACAATGTCAAATTGTTACGTTTAATATTTTTATTTGATTAATTTATACATTCGCTTAAATAGAAAGAAAGAAAATCAACTCGAAAATCCGTTATTATTTATTAACCTTGCAGGCAGACGCGCGTGCAGCTCTGCTTATGGTGAGTCGCTCAAGGACATCAGCAATGCCAGGGGCAGAGCCAAACTGTTGCCTTCCGTTACCATTTCTTATCAATAAAAGGAAATCAAAAATACTGATCGTGTAACATTTTTGTCAGGCAGTAATAATAGTTTTAGACATGTCACGTGTCACATTCAATTTTTATCACAAAAAACCTATATCCTTACATTTAATAACACGTTCTAAATTCGACAAAGTATTATAATATGAGAAATGAAAGTTGGCTAAAGATCCGTTATCTTGCTCGCAAGAGATTAATACATAGTTACAGGTGGCATTGTTTAAAACACTGACTATTGTTAGGTATCACCATCTGTTAGGTAATACCTGAAAGTGATTGGAAAAAAATGTGTACTAACAAATTTTTAAGTTTAACATCTAGTAGGTACTACTAGTTACTAGTTATAATCTATATATTAATACCTAAAACGAAAACTTTTTATCCCTTTTTACGAAAATTGCGCGGACGGAGGAGTATGAAATTTCCTACCCTTATAGAGAATATAGAGGGATTGCAGAATGTTATTTTTTTTAATTATACCTAAAAAATAAATTAAATCAATAAAAGAAACATGAACACTACCATTCATTTGACACACATACACAGGCACATATAATATTGTTTGTCTTTAATATTATTTGTCTTTAAGGTGGTCTTGGCGAAATCTGTGATTATAGGAAGTAAAATAATAGTCTTTGACAATAGAACCATAATAATGTTCAAACTTATAATTTCAATTAATATTATAGTCGAATTTCGACTACCGGGGGGCCACTAGTAACAGATAAATATACAATGAAGTACTTATGTACATTACAGTTAATAATAAAAAGTTATCCTACACACTAAAACTGTTTGAAATCACAGTTTTAATAAAAATGCATCGATATTCTGTATTTAGCGCTTGGCCTTTAGATTGAGCCATTAAGAGAGCTGTGTGCTTACTGCTTAGTGCGAGTTTTGCTAACGTTCTCGATAGCGTAAAAGTTAACTCAAATTTGTATGCAGTTGGAACAGCGCCCCTAGCGGCAAACGCAGGCAAACGTTCCAACTCCATACAAATTTGAGTTAACTTTTACTCTATCGAGAACGTTAAAAAAAACTTTCATTAAACACACTGAGTGTTCTTGTGATCCTTGCAAACAATGCGTAAGTAAACCAACACTAGTAGCATTGTACGCTCAACTAAGAAACGCGACTAGAATTCTACAACTGTTTCCGAGTATAGTATTTTCTTTGGCTTTCACGAGTCGCGGGCACGATTAAAACGACTTTTCACTGGCGACAGTGACCACGAAAACTGCATTCATCGAAACTTCTCGAAATTAAGCAACAAAAGTAGCTTTGAATTGTGTTGCCGTGTATTTCTGCTAGCTGGGGACTAAAACAGTCTTGTTTAATTTCAAAGAGCATCTTCATAACCTTTGTCGCGGTACACTCGTCATCTATATATTAATACGTGAAGCAAAAACTTTGTATCCCTTTTTACGAAAATTGCGCGGACGGAGGAGTATGAAATTTTCCACACTTATAGAGAATATAGAGAAGAAGTGCACAATGCTAATATTTTTTTTAAATAATGCATAAAAGATACATTAAATCAATAAAGAAAACATTACACACACTACATACCACGTATTTGACGCATGCATACTATTTATTGTCAAACTTTTGTTCTTGACATCTGTTGTCAAATTGAGAATAAATTAAATATTATTTGTCTTTTTTAATATTTTTATAGTGCAGTCTTGGCGAAATTTGTGATTATAGAAGTATAAAATACAATCATAATAGTGTACAAACTTACAATTACAATTAATTATAGTCGAATTTCGACTACTGCGGGACCTCTAGTGGTAATTAAAGTAGGTGCAGTTTTTTGGTTAATACCGTGCGGCTTGTGGATCTTCTGTATGTTACGTTCCGCCCTTTCGGATCTTGTTATGAATTCCATAACTCAACTTTCGCTACAGGACGGGTGACATTTTAATTTAACAAGTGAGATTACAATTTAAATAACCGTAGGCAAACGTTTTATTAATATAACCTTATTGATAATTAGGATTAATAATAGGATTTGAGTTGGGTTACCTGGGCCCACCTGGTGTTAAGTGGTTACTGGAGCCCATAGACGACTACGACGTAAATGCGCCACCCACCTTGAGATATAAGTTCTAAGGTCTCAAGTCTAGTTACAACGGCTGCCCCGCCCTTCGAACCGATACGCATTACTGCTTCACGGCAGAAATAGGCAGGGCGGTGGTACCTACCCGCGCGGACTCACAAGAGGTCTTACCACCAGTATTATTATTAATTTAACATAGTTTTGTTCGCTTTTTATTCTGAGTTCGCGTTTCCGCGACCACAGACAATGTATCGTTCTCGGAATTGTTCAAGGAAATCTTTCTAGCAGCACGATTTTTCTGGTTTCGTTTTTTTTGTTGTTGTTGTTGTTGTTGTTATTCGCGCAGTCTCGGACGCTCAGACCCTTAACTTTTAGAGCGCGAACCGTCGATAGATCGACTCTCTTTTAATACGTGTAAAGTATAGAGCGTCGGAATACCGACTATTGTGCGGTTTGACGTGTCTTGGCGTGCGCATTTATAAATTACCCTATAAAATTATTTTTTTGTAAATTTTGTATTTTTTTTTTGGTTGTTTTTCTCAAAAATCCCTTAGCTATTTCTGCGAAATATTTAAAAATAAGCTAAGCACTAAAAGGGTTAATTACGCAGTACGAGTTCCATTCTACTTGGGATTGCTAGTCGTAAAAATAATAGGTAATCAAAGTTGCGAGTCGGCTCTGATATAACAAACCGCAGAGGCTCAACTCATTTCGTTCCGATCGAATGACCGACCGTCTCATTGTTTTGTTGTTGCACTGTTTTGCAATCAAGCATCAAGAACACGAATCTTAGAGCTATTTTAAAACCTGCCTTGATTTTTTATAGCCCTTTTTATTTAGCACCAGCTGACCCGGCAGACTTCGTACTGCCTCAATCGATAAATAAAAGACCTAAACTTTTATATAAAATAAACTTAAAACAAACAAAAGGAATCCGTCCGACGGGGGACACATAAAGGGAAAACCAAAATTATTATTTTCATTTAATTCCGAGCATTTTCTTATTTATCTACCTTTTAAACCTTCTCTGGACTTCCACAAATAATTCAAGATCAAAATTAGCCAAATCGGTTCAGCCGTTCTCGAGTTTTAGCGAGACTAACGAATAGCAATTCATTTTTATATAGATTTGTAGATTCCAAGGGTAGTGACGAGCTATATTATAAATTATAAATTGTTATATTTTATACTATGTACTATATTATATACTATTATGTATTATATTATAAATTGTCATCGAATTGAACTTTAATTTGTAAAGTGACGCTTTTACGACCGGCACAAGAAATACTGAGTTGTATCTATTTAACAATACATCGTTTTTTAAGTAAACCTGTAACCCCGTTCAAATATGGTAAAATTACAGGTTCATATTTGAATGGGGTATGCATGTTTTTGTTTTAATATTTTTTTCCAAATTTTAAGCTTTAAATTGCTCTCATGTAAAGATGCAAAAATGTCGCTTAAACCAAATAACCTTTGAGCCCTCGATACCTTTTAAGTCTGTATTATTTCGACCAAAACATCATGCATTCACGTTTTGAAGTTAATAGACCCCGATAACCCCTTTGGTTTGAATTGTGAGCGTATTTCCCAGTATTATGAGGAAGGTCGCAAAAACTAGGCAGATACTTTTAAATATTTAGCTTAACAGACTTATAAATACCCTTTGACATATTAATTAATGGTACTTATCAACCAATAGAACAATAAATAATAAATAATCAAGTTAGTGCGATATGCGAAGGTTAATTTCAACAGAATGGTCTACGGTTCTGAGAACTACACACGTGCGAAGTTTCTAAGAAGCTATGGTCATTATAAAAAAATAAAAAATCATTATAATTCGACTATACTGAGAAATATCTACGAAATTAATTGCATTAATTCGTGGTATCTTGTTGAAATTGGTGTGATAGTGACGTGATTACTAAATCTTAAAGTGTATCGTA